AAAGCCCCAAATGAGCTCTTATTCAATTTTTATTCACACAAAGATTAAGATTTATAACTCTAACGTAAAATTAAAACCTTGCTTATATACAAGATATATAAATCTTTGCAATCAGTGTCTGTTTAGAAAAATGAATATAATACCAATTTGTGGTATATCATCAATTAATAAATATGGGACCTATAAGGTATGTGATGCTTGATTAAAGTAAAAATAAAAAAATAGAACTTTCATAATTCTTAGCATTATGAGCCCTTAAATGTTGTAAACATCCCTGACTTCAATCTCAACAACTGTGTCTCCTTTCATTCACAACGTTTCGCATCTTCTTTGTGGTTCTCAATCACCCAACTTTTTTGGAACGAAACAACTACCTTCTACAGGCTGTCATATTTTTATACACCATTTATTTGTTCTGATTAGCAATTTTCTCGTCTTACTACAAGAATATTACTCTTAAATTTTAAAATCTTTAGTTTAACTTCTTTAAGGCATACAAAAACATCTTTAAAATAAGTCCGTGTTGTTCTGAGTCAGTTTGTACCTACACCAATGAATTCTCTATAATAAGGGTAAAGGCACGTGTTTAGTGGCCAACGTGCTCAAAGGAATAGTAATAAACTAAGGCAAAATTTGCAAGGCAAAAATTTTTTGTTCGACCAGCAAATTGTTTCTAAACACGTATTAATGATCTTTTTCATGGTCCACAGTTTCTGTTAGCTTTCTGCCAAAATCTGCATTTACACGCAACGCAAACATGGTTTGCTGAGGCAAAAATTTCATTTTTGGAAGTCATTCCCGCAAAAGCCAAATTGAATGAAGCTGAATAGCTTCATAAGTGAAATTTCGCAGAGCATTTTCCGACATTCCTTTGTAAGTGTGCCGCCTCGGCTTGCAGGGACATGCAAATTTAAATTATTTGTAACTTTATGATTTTCTTTGACCAGCTCAGCACGAATGGAAATTTATAAATATTTTCCATGCCAAAAAAAAAAAAAGCAAAAAAACTTACACGAAAAATTCATGTTAAATATTCGCATTCGTTTTCCATGCCGTAAATTGGTTCAACGTTAAGTAAATTTAATTTTTTATTATTTATTTCTGCAACTTCTGAATTTTGGATGTTTGGATGGTGGGTAAAAATGGTTGCATGCTCTGAACCCAGAAAACGAAAAAATAAAGCATCGAATAGAAAATTACAGTAAAAGTTGTTTTGTAATCTCTTGAGCCCAAGCTAATATATTTTTTCTTTTAACTATTTTATTCTCTTTTCCTTAAATAATCAGAATAAAAATATTTTAGGCACGTTTCAATTTTAAAACTTTGGAGTAGTAACTTGAGTATACTACATGGCAGAAGGATCAAACAGTTGTTTTCCTTGGTAACAAGAAACGTACTAAGTATGCATTGGTATTAAAAAATTTCTTTATGTATATCCATCATCAAATATACCAAAGTATTAAAATTCTTAATTAAATTAACAATTTTACAAAAAAATTTTTGACGGATTCGAATAGCAAAGAAGACAAGGACAAAAATTTATTTAATTTATTGAAATTTGACTGACCATACTTCGCTGATTCGAGTATTGCCACGTACTCGACATCAGTGGTCTTAGGAAATATTCTAATTTCTTAATTAGTTTATAGTCTGTACAGAATTTGTTTGAACTGCAAGTGCCAGACTTAGAACTCGTGTCTATCAAATTAGAAGCGATGACTCTCACTCTCGGCAAGAAAAAATTAATGCAAAAAATTTTTTTTCTATATTACTTTAATTAATTGAATTTTTGAATTGACACTATAACTCTAATGGCAGGGTAAGAGTTCAACACATAGTACTTGCAGTCTCAATAAATTATTTACAGCTGTTTTGAGTATTGCCAAATACCCATCATTAGTGGTGTTCGAAATAATTCTTGCATTTAATTATTCGTAAATAATTTTTAGAAACTGCAAATACCAGGAATCGAACTCGTGCCCTGCCAAATTTGACGCTAAGAGTCAGCACACCTTAAGCAACAGATCCAAAGCCGTACTTGACTTTTATGTTCGCAGATTTTTCTGGAGTTTTGTTAATTTGTTGTGAAAACTTTGTTAACAAATTCAATTGCTATGTTTATATTACACCGAAATCATAAATCAGCTGTAAGAATAATTGAATTAATTAATTATATTTTTATTTTTAATTGTTAAATTTCAATTCTGTTTGAGATACATTATTTGTTGCATGATTTTAAAATAATATAAAAAAGAATTTTTATTGTTGTAGTGTTCAGTACTACTACTTTTCGAAATCTCTCAACCAAAAACAAAACATTATATTACTTTCTATTAGTCACTTCTGTCATAACTGATGTTAACTTACAACTTAAAATAAATCGCTTTATTAATAATTTCAATTTTATAAAGCATACGCACTGAAAAATTTACTTGAGAGTTAAGAGTGGTAAAAGTATATCAAACGCTTACTGATCTTACTGATTTAAAATTGCAATGTCTATAACAACATGTATTACATATATATAACAATATATATTCCTACAGAAAGATAGGCTAAACTTCTAACTATACCTCTATCAACTGAATAACTCCTTATCATAATTTAATTGAGTTCTTGTCATAGTGCATCACCAAGTGATCACAAACAGTATTGAGTACAAATGCACAATATAACTAACTCGGGTTTTATCAATCAAAGAAGAAGGAGATGAAAAAATCTTTATTTGAAAATTTTACTTTTTAAAATATTTTCTAATATTAAAAAACTCAATTTTTCTCAGTAATTTCAAACGGCTTGAACGTTAGTTTAACGTAATGAAAACAACCATATATTTATACAACTAAATCCGAGCTTAAGTCTAAGCCCTACAAGTTCAAAATAAGGTTAGATTTCACTGATGGTCAAAAAATAGCCTTAGAAAAACTGTGACACGCCACATTTCCAAATATTGTCTTCTCTAATGAAAATTATTTCCGAATTAAGGAATCCGTAAGAAAATTCAATAAATTGTATTGTCTTCTCTAATGAAAATTATTTCCGAATCAAGAAATCCGTAAGAAAATACAATAAATTGATTTACTTGATTGAGGAAGGCTATAAGGACTCAAGTGTTTTTATTTGTGATGATTTGCTGGTCGGTCTCCAAAGGTTTTTTTAGGCTGACGCAACCAAACTCGTTCTCCGTTTAGTAAACTTAATTTAGTTTATTCTCTACAGATTCTTTAATGCGGAAAAAGAAGATATTTAGTATATTAGCCGTATCACTGTTCTTTTATTTTATTGACCATAGTCATATTTTTAAACATTGGTGATATATGGTAGTATACGTTTTGGGACTTGTTAGTAGTCCGGATATCTGTTACGAAACAGAAAGACAAGAGAATCAGTATTAAAGAAGTAACGATTCGCCGTCACATACAGCATGCGTTAATCAACCAATAGTCTATACTACACTTGGATTTACACTTGCTTCCGCACTTACTTATACTTAGCCTGCTTTGCAGGCTAGACTCTAAACTTAAAAGTAACAGAATATTGAGGTGATATTTTTTGTCTGAGAAGTTGTTTAATTGAGTTATTCTTTATTAAATAATGAATTCGTAATATAATAATTAAGTGTCTGAGGCGTTTCGAAAGTTCTGCAAGTGAATTTTATTTTTTTTGAAATTTTTCTTTAACGACCCTTTACATGTCAAGCACTCGTAAAGGTTTGATATGAAATAAATAAATTTTGTACCACAAAATTAAAAAAATTGATGCTTATAAAATTTTTGTAAATCTTTAGAGCTAAAATTTTCTCCTCTATTTTCTATAAATTGTATTTGCATTTTTATTAGCGAAAGGAAGAATGATAGTTTTGCGATCTCCTGTGTTATCTGTAGAGAAAATCTTTAAAGATAACCCGTACAATATTTTAGAATTTTTATGAGTGGAATGACCAATGATAATTTTATAGCTATGCGATCTATTGTGCTATCTTTGAAGAGAATCTTCAAAGATAACCCGTACAATACTTAAGAGTTAAATTTTCTTTTTTAATTTTATTTACTTTTTTTTAGTAAAATGCACAATGATAATTTACTATATATGCGATCTAATATGCTATCTTTGGAGAGAATCTTCCAAGCTAAACTGGACAATATTAGACTATTGAAAAATAACAATATTTCGTCTTTTATTTTTTTTTCGGAATATTTCTTGAACAACATATTTTAATGAAAAATTTCCTCTTAATCTAAATATTATATATTCGCTTTAAAAAATTTTTAATTTTAAGTGTTTGTATTTCAATGTAAAATTATATGAAAACAATAAATTTATATGTGAACTCATAACACTACTGTGTCTTAAGACGGCTAAGAAGAACATGAAGTCGTAAATCTTAGGAGTCAGATTAAGAGGAGGTTAAGATCCACCTTGAGACGTAACACCAGTTATTATGAACATGTAATAAATTAATTAAAATATTTTAATTAAATATTAAATTGACTACATATATTAATAAATAATATTTACATCATTTTAATTCACTTTTCAGCGTGACTTTATTAATTTCAAGTGCTTCACATAATTTTTTGATTAGAGATGCAAAGTTTAATTTATTCGCAGATTATTTTAATAAGAAAACTAAAGATACTGAAGCACTTTTTTTTAGCTTAATAATTATAAATAACAGAAAATTATATTAGAAACCATTTCCATACATTATTATTCACCATGCAAAATTTTAAATTAGAAAACAAATTAATGGAAATTCTGATATAAAAAATCGTATAAATGCTTGAATAATTTTATGTGTAATTGCAAATGGAAAAAAAATTAATGCACTTTCAATTCTTTTCAATTTTAATTTGAGTTTATGAAACTGCAATTTCTGAGCGAAAAACCAATTCGAACATGAAATGCTTCAACGCTTCTACATTAAACGCTTCAGTAAGTAATGTCGCGTGCCTACCGCAAAATGTGCTGTCCGTGCGCCTCTTGTGATTGTCTTATTTTTAGTCTGTGACTAAGTCCACAGCTAGTATCTCTAGACTGTGGGCCGGCCAATTCGTCTGTGTCTGCGTAAGTTTCACATCTTAAACAAACAGAAATTATATTGGTCTTGAAAATTACAGTTGTTGGTCTTTTTACGGAGCAACATTGAACCAATTTGCCGCCAATTAACAGTTAAATGTTGTGTTCCAATTGTTGTGATAAAAAAAAATAAAAAATCAAAATATTCTGTTATTTTGAATATTGCGGAATTGTTAACATTTATATTATTATTAGTAATTATTAGTATATTATTATAAAATAATTTGTAATTGTAAATTTTTATTGCTGAAAAAATTTTCTATTGACTTACCCTTCAACAAATGTTGCAAGATATTATCTTTGTGCTCTTCCGAGTGCGGTTCACCCAAAACAATCAGCAAATAGCAACCGGTTAAAGGACTTGGTGGTCCGACCATACCACCACCTAAGCTTGATGGACCACCACCATCAGAGCAAGCGGTATCCAATGGTGGACGCCCACCAACTTCTGATGGTGGCAATGAACTAGCACCAGCATCCGTTGCAGCATCATCAACAGCTGCTTCGACATCAGTACCGTCTATAGTGCCGCCACCAACAACACCGCTGCCACCAACGCCATTTTCAACATTCATCGTACCATCGCCGGCAGTGCCGTTAGCAACAGCAACACCATTTAAGTGTTCTGACAATGCTGGAGCGCCATTGCCATTGCCGTTACCGTTACCATTCCCATTGCCATTGCCATTACCATTACCACTAACATTAGCATTAGCATTAGCATTCGCATTTCCACCACCATTGTTAGCTGCAGCTGCGTTGCCAACTAAACCGTTTGTGGCACTTTCTGCACCATTGGCAGCTGCACCGGAAGTTGTTTGATCACCCATCACAGTTACGTTCACTTTCTTATAAATTTCTTTTAAGAAATCCAAATTTATGCAAAACTTTTTATTTCACTTCTCAAATGCAAAACAATTAATTAAGTCAAATGCAACTAATTAAGTCTTGTTTATTGAATTGTTTATTGTTTTTTAAGTTTAACTTAATTTTTCAGTTTATTACAAATAGTTTATCAAAACAGGAACCTTTCGCACTTAAACACAAATTCGAAACATGAAGAAATCTATCAGGACAATTGTAAAATTTTAAAAATTCTGCAACTTTCCCTTACTTCCTTCGGCTGTCTTAATATATATCATCCGTTAAATTTAAAACTTCTTTGAAATTTTAAATCAATCAGTCTTTTCTTTCTTTCTTCCTAACCACAATATCTTGCTCAGTGTTTTAATTTAGTTCAATTTATATTTGCAATTTTATGAAAATTGTCCTTCAAATCTTTGGTATACAATCCGAAGAATTGTACCTGAGAATTATTTCGTTTGATATTTTATTTGGCTTCGTTTCAATGTTCGTTCAATTCACTTGCAAATGCCGCTGAAGACTGAGTGACTGGGCACAGACTCAATGGCAGGCGTAAGCAAGAAACTCTACAAGACACTCATACGCTTGACTTTCGTATGCACTAACTTCACTGCACTTTGTTGTTGTTGCTGTTGATGTTGTTGTTCTTATTGCTATTGTTAGTACAAACTCCACTGTTGTGTTGTGTTGTGTTTTTTAGTTTGTTTTTGTTTATTTTCTTAAGTTGGCAACACTGCCAATGCTCGCCATTTACTTTAAACTAAAAATGGAAATTTTATAGCAATTGGCGAATTATTTTCTTTAGTTTATTTTTCAATTTTAATTGAA